CTCTCTCTCTCTCTCTCTCTCTCTCTCTCTCTCTCTCTCTCTCTCTCCATTTTATAGACGTATTAGTCAGTGTTACACGTTCATCCTGCATAGATTTGGTCACCACTGACAATCAAATCATTCTGAAAACCATGAACCAAAATCATGCAATATCCCTCCACTTGCAAAATGCGTAAATTAAATGGTGCTAATGGTAAAATAATAATCCGTAACACCATATGTAAATTAATATGAAAGATACACCCCCATAAATACCTATTTGCGATACTCATCTGTTGTAAATGGAAGTGGGCGACAGAGGGAGATGTAGAGAGGCAGTGTGAGAGACAGCGAGAGGGAGAGCGCCTGAGCTGATTTCAGCACCACACGTGTGGACAGCGCCACACAGGCGGCCAACTGCTGCTGCTGCATGCTGCTGGAGAGGCAGACAGCCCCACAGGCTCTCAATGAAGGCAGCAGGCAGCCAAGAAACAAAAAAAAAAAAAATACCAACTTCCTTACTATTTTTCCTACAGCCTACAGGAATAAATACAGAAGGTGATCGGCCAGAAGACTAAAACACATGATTTGATTTTACTGCTGCAAATAGGCCACGAAAAGAGCTATGAATAAAAAAGAAAAACAAGCTCAAGAATGTATTGTCACATTTTAAATGATCAAGTTTTGATCATTTAAAATACACTATTATGCTCGCTAAATTTATACTAGTGGTATTTTATCAGCGAGGAAAATCAGCATTTGGAGATACAGTAAATCTATAATAAATAAATATAAATAAATATATTATAAATAATTTTGGGTTTGTGAAATCAGACCTTCCCCAATAAAGACTTAGCACACACGCACATTGCAATTCTGATGTAAACATTTGGAAGCACACATTCATTTCCTGTTAAGCCTCAACTTGCATGTGTTCACTGTCAGGTGTTGATCAACAGTACAAAGTGCAGAAGTTTCATGGACTAAAACGATTCCAACCATCTATCCGTTCATTTTGTTTTCCATACCCACTTATCCTGTTTCAGGCTGGAGCTTATCCCAGCATACACAGGACAGGAGGCAGGTTACACACTGAACAAGTCATCAGGCTATCACAATGCCAACACACATACACGAACACGCACTTTAACACCCACACAGAAAGAGATGGACATGTACACTCCAATAAAAAAAGAAAAACAAGTAAGCCAGGAGATTTGAACTTGTTGTGAGGTTACAATGCTAACGGCAGTGCCACTCCCATCTTCATACAGTCATTGTCCAACATGAACAGTTCATGCACAACTATATTACCCTAACCTGCATCAGATTAACTGACACTGAATGATTTGAAAAACAGCAACCCATGTAGGATGCAATACAAGAGACCATCTACTGTCCATCTTAAGGTATGTTTAGGTTTGGTTGAGTCTGCTAAGTTAGAAGTTTGTGTGTTAAATCAGTTGTATATGTTTTTAAACTGTAGCGTGAGGTGTTGCTCTACACTACACTAAACATTTACATTTATAGTATTTTTCTACCTCAATTACATATGCACTCATTTCCAGTTGATTAGGCAACCTAGTGAAAATGAATACCATCCAATACAACAGTCTTGAATATTAGGAAGATTCTAATGTTCAGTTTTATGTTGAAATTGTTTCAGAGAGGTGTTGATTGAACTGTAAGGTCATTTTGGAGGCTGCAGTCTGTGATGCTGTTAAATTGTATTGTGTTATCCTGGCATGTTTTTCTGTTATTTAGTCCACCCTATTGATATGATTGGGGATAGGGTAATTAACAGAAACACCTCATCCTCCATAATGATCACAAAGTTTAACCAAAACTTCTTCAAAACAGTTTCAACAAAAATGTGAAATTATTTATTCAAGGACTGTATTAGGCTGCATTCGTTTTAACTAGGTGTATCTAAAACGCTGGCAAGTGAGCGTGTGAAAAACGCCTTACAATATAATTCAATCCAGTACACCAACACCACAAATTACATCCTCAAAAATGAATCAACACTTTGCTGGACTTTAATTGATTTGAGTCAAGACATTTGAGTCAATCTCCTCTGATACATTAGATACTGCAGGTCGACTTATGACACCCTCTTAACATGTTTGTGTCACATGGTGTGCATTTATTTTGTACTTGTGCTGCATTTTCTTAACCCACTGTATTCCAATAGTTTATTTAACAACTGTACTATCTTTCTTTATCACTGACTAAAGTGGATGGTGGTCCAGAGCACAAAAACACAGGCTAAAATCCAAGATACGGTGCTGGACAGTATAAGCACTGCAACTTACATTCAAGCACAAGTAACTTTACCAGCTGGTTTCCTCGGCTAATACTCTCCTTAAACCACATAAGCCTGTTAGTAAGGAGAGCTGTCCAACTTCTTGTTAAAGTGTAAAGTGCTTTACACTCCCTTGAAAAAGGGAGTATAGAAAAGAGCTAAAACATTGATTCAAAATAGATTACAGTCTAAAAGTTTAACATATTATTCACTACCCAGAGAAAAGTATTAAAATTAAATCTTCCACAATATAGTATAGATTGTAAATTATGTTCATGGGATAATGACACCCCAATCACAAAAAAGCATAATACATATGACATAAGAACACATTGTTCATAAAGCCACTCACACTGTCACACACAATCAGCTGTCAACAAATGGCGTGTCCACCAACGCCTGATTGAAGCAATCATCAGTGATGATAGACGTTTTGTGAGGGATGTGAAAAGATCTGTCGCTTGAAAAAAAATCAGATTAACCTTAATCTAACTCAGTGCCAATGTGTAATGTTTGGACACTGTAAAACATTCAGTGTCTGCTGCTATAGTCTGTCTTTGAATTCTGTTACTGCACGGTGATCTGGAGTATGATGTTCTGATGTCAGTGTAGTGCTATTTGTAGAATCATGAATGTTTTCTACCACTCTTTGTGTTTGATGTCTGTGAACAACAAAGATGAAAACTATTTCTTACCTTATTTGGTGAGTCAGGATTTAACAGGAGTTAGGGAGGAGACAGGAACAGCACCAGGCAACAAGAGGGACACATGGAAGAGAACAACAAGAAACAAAGGATGTCAGTTAGACTGGTGGTCAGCATATAGATTCTGGCTTTGGGAAGCAACAAACATACTTACCATGTGGCTCACAACAAATGGGTGTTGTGATTCATAGAGTCTTGATGGATAGTAAATTGTCTCTCATGATTGGATTGCTCACAAAAACAGTCTGCTGTGTGTGCACATAAACTATTGAAGTTTAAAAATATGTAAACAATTATGTGTTGTTTGATCTGCATCTTTTTTCAGCCTTCAGTCAGTATAATGATGATACGATTGAGCCTCCATCAGCACATACTGTAATAATACATTGTGGCTTATCTTTCAACAGAAAGTATTCAAATACAAAAGTATGATACATTAATTTAACATATTATGATACTACTATAAGAATTACAGCTGTTTGTTTTAACAATACTGAGTTGATTTTTGGGACATAACCTTTATTGATGAAAGAATGAACCAAGCTGGGTGTAAATTATCAAACTCACAGAAAGAATGAGGGAACATATTGCCATGTGAGTGTATTTGTGTGTGAAGGAATTAGAGAGAGAGAGAGACAGAGAGAGAGAGAGAGAGAGAGAGAGAGAGAGAGAGAGAGAGAGAGA